ATAGCCAAAGATACACCATTTCAAAAATTTCTACATGTACAATTCAGTTACATCGATTACGTTCTTCCAGTTGTGCTGCTATTTGCACTTTAGATGAAGGTTTACAGAGCAAAATAGTTTCTCATTTATACTGCTTTCTTAATGGAGGGTTTCTTTTCTTTACATTTACTAGGTGGTAGCTTGTCTAATATATTTTCATGCTCATTGATTAATTCGTTATTATTATTGATTGATTTATAGACTAGAGGTAATTTAATAGTATCATCGTTCATCTTGAAACCTTGGTATCTTCTATCCAGTCTTTTTCTTGACATCCAATAAGTAGTCACATACTTACAAAACATCTATAATATCTCTTGGATCCTTTTCTTCTGATGTTACCATAAAAAGAGATTTTATTAGTTTATTAAAGTGTAACATTCATTGGTTGGTGTTTGGTTGGATTATATAAATTTAATTGCTTTAATGATTAAATGTTTTTATTAACAAGATGATAAACCCATGGTTCTCTGTGGATCAGTTGTTCTTTATGCCTTATGCAGATAAAGTGACTCTTTGCTGCCACCTATGGATGTGTAATCCTGAAGTGTCGAATTATAGAAGTTTTATGAAACACATGTTTTCTCTTTTAGGACTTTTCCAGATTTCTCAGAACAAAGTAGCAGTTCTTCTTCTAGCTGGTGGACAGGGAACAAGACTCGGCGTTGCATATCCCAAGGGGATGTATGATGTTGGTTTGCCATCCCACAAAACACTTTTTCAGATTCAAGCAGAGCGCATCCTGAAGCTACAACAGTTAGCTGAAAAATATCATGGCAATAAATGCATTATTCCATGGTAAGCTGTGTCTTATTATGGGAGGTGTCAGAACATATATTGGTTTATAATATTCAAATGTATATAGACTTTATTCATAAGTGGGCATATTTCCTGTTACTTCTGATTTTCTCCGGAGGTATAATTTACTATATATGCTGAAAGTAATATTATAGCTAGAAAGATCACTATAGCCTCAATGAGTAATATATACTCATATCTAGTTTTTATATCCCTACCCGAGTACCTCTGGGTACTCAGTGGGCCCTCTTAGTCTAGAAACTTCATTGATCTAGAAACTGATTGATCATTTGTCTAGGTATACAATTTCTAGTTAAAAATAGTTTTCCCTCTGAAATTTCGTATTTGAAGGCATTACTTTATTGCTTCCAGCATTGCTGTTGAGAGGTCCAATGCTATTCTAATTCCCAATTCCCACCCCCCGACCCCCGCCAAAAGCATCTGGCATCTCCTCTATAACATCTGAAATTTCATGATGATGTGGTGTGGGTCTGTTTTCAGCCATTGCTTTGGCTACTCAGTGGACTCTTTCAATCTAGAAACTCATATCCTAAGTACCAGGTTCTCTAGCCTCCTGCCAGGTACGGCTTCAGAACTTAACAGGCATCACTCCAGACTTCACTGGCTTTCTGCCTTCCACACCAGCTGAAAGCTCCCCTGATTTCTCTGCTGTGCGCCCAGCTTGGACTCTTAGTCTCCTTTAGGGAGTCCCTGGATGGTGCAAATGGTTAACACATTCAGCTGCTAACTGAAAGGCTGGAAGTTCGAGTCCACCCAGAGACGACTCGAAAGAAAGGCCTAATGATCTACTTCTTAAAAAGCAGCTGTTAAAAACCCTGTGGAACACAGTTCTGCTCTGACACGCATGGGGTCTCCATGAGTCAGATTGACTCCATGGCAACTGGTACTAGGATGTAGTGTGTAGTGTCCCCGCAGCCCTTCCTCAGACAGTATCTCCTAAACACCAAGAGATCACAGGAAATTCTACTTTGCTCTTTAAAAGTTTTGGTTCAGCTCTTTAATCTCCCTCCCAGAGCAGCTTTGGAAGTTAGCACATGTTTATCCCTTCAGCTGTGTGTTACCGCTTCAGCCCAATGTGACCAACAAAAGCTCTGCTGGCTTCTCCGTCCCCCTACAGTAACCTGCCTGGTCCAAGCCCATATTCGCCACCATTAGCCAGTATCCACATTAGCAGATGCCTTAGGAAAAGGCAGCTGCTTATCCTCAGCTCCCCTTTGAAAGATTCTTCCTCTGTGGAATTTTTGTTCCAGTTCTTATTGCTTCTGTAGTTCTGTGATGCCTTTAAAAATACGCGATTCATAATTTTCCCAGCTTTTCTAGTTCTTTTCAACAAGAGTGTTGGCCTGCTGTGAACTTTTTGTTTTCATCTTGATTCCTGTGGGGGTGTCTGAGGGACATCTGTGTTGTGAGTGGCCACCATTTGGCTTACAGTTCCGGCCTCCCATGGTCATGTTGGGCTTTCTCCTCTCTTTCCTACCTCCTCACAACTCAGAATTGCTGTTCTTTTTTATACAGAGCAGTTTAGCCACATCTTTTGTCATCTAAATCATCACCAAAACTTTTTGTACCTAACTTAAAAATACCCAGGATATTTTGTTAAACAGACAGATACCTACTCTGGTGGGAAATTATACCATTTTCTTCAATTATTCACTCAACCAATATTTATTAAGTGCCTGCTGGGGATATAGCAGTAATCAAAACAGACACAAATCTCTATTTATATGTACTTAACATTCTAGTAAGGGCAAAAGCTAGTGCAGTCACTAATCATGGTTTTAGATAGCATTTGTTCTTTTTTTGCCACAGTTACATGGGTTGAATTTTTGTGACAGCAGAGGGTATAATTATACTTTTGTGATTCTAAATGGAGGGTGAGTAGAGAACAGAGGCCAGATTTCATTTTGAAATTTTAATAAAAGTAAGAGATCATTAGAATGTGGTATAGTTACCTTTTTCTCTCCATTTATTTAGAATAGGAGTTTTTAATTTAAAATACACTTTTCCTAGAATTCTAAAATGCTTTCTTTAGCTAGTTACAAGTTTTCTGTTGCAGGAGGTATGTTTAATACCATTAGATAGTTGTTTTTTTTGTTTTTTTTTTAATACAGAAGGGTTGATGAAATTAACTGCAGGAAATTCCCTTTGGGTCCCATTGCTGTCGAGTCAGTTCTGATTCATAGTGACCCTGCAGGACAGAGTAGAACTGCCCTATAGAGTTTCCAGGGAGTGGCTGGTGGATTCAAACTGCCAACTTTTTGGTTAACAGCTGTAGCTCACCGTAGCTCTTAACCACTGCACCACCTGGGCTCCTCCCTTTGGGTAGTGGCTAATAAATGTGTCTTTCCCGGGAAAAGGATAAAGAAACTCAAAATGAGAAGCACTGCTCTCAGAGATTTTCTTTAGCCTAGAAAATAGATAAAACTTTGTTTTTCCCTGATTTATATAGCATTATTGCTTTGAAAATTTTCTTTTTTTCTTGGAAGGTATATAATGACCAGTGGCAGAACAATGGAATCTACAAAGGAGTTCTTTGCAAAGCACAAGTACTTTGGTTTAAAAAAGGAGAACGTAATCTTTTTTCAGCAGGGAATGCTGCCTGCTATGAGGTTTGATGGGAAAATTATTTTGGAAGAGAGGAGCAGTGTTTCTATGGCTCCAGGTTTGTAACCATCCTGATTTAATGGTGATCGGAAATGCTAATAATATGAATCATTATATTTTGATTTTCTTTTTAAGATGGTGATTTAGATGTTAAAGTTTTTTTTTTTTTTAATTCGGCAATGATTTAAGAAAATGAAAATGCACAGTGGTGAAATGAATACCCAGATACTTTTTGTGGAAGTCTGCCCTGGAGAGCACTTTGAGCAGCATTCAGAGTGTTCATTCTCTTTGCTCAGTATTTTATGTATAGCAAGGTTCATGGCTTCCTGATTTATTATGGTGAAAAACTGGAAATCATTTACTGTTTAATCAATGAGAGGCTAAATTATAATTCATCTAGAATTAACTATTAAGCAGTATTAAAATAATTGGAGGCATTAAATGACAAAGGGAAATAGTTTGAGTAGGTTAAAAGAAAGCAAGATACAAAACTACATACACGGTATGATAGGGCCACCACTTTGCACAGTTGTGGGGGCTCCGTGCTCATTGTCGTGTATTAATGGCACCCCTGGAACTGGACCGTGTGCTGCCTGGGGAGCCACATGCAGTGACTCTGAGTGTGAGCCCAGTGATAGAAATCGCCACTGACAGATTCACATCTGTGTGAATCTATACTTGGAGGAGAGGCTGAAAGGAAAGAAACAACAGTATTAACAGTGGAGATGTCCACAGGTAGGCTTTGATTTCATCTTAATTCAGTCAATGGAAGAATTTACCATTCTTAGATCTATTTTGTCAGGTAGTCTAACTTCTCTTCATAATTTAAACTGTGAAAACAGCACTAAAAATAGATGGAGGAGAGGATGCTTTTACTTATATTTAGTTTCAGCCACAGTAGACCCTCATATGAATCTGATCTTTTAACAAATTATTTGATTTGAAATGCTCATGGATTTTTGAGATAGGAGAGATTGTCAGTGTTGGGGCTGTAGATGCAGAAGGAACTTGACTCATTCAAATTCCAGTAAAACTTGAAATCTTGTGAAATAAGCATTGTCTGATAGAGAATTTCATATCTCACAATATATTATAGGTGAGATTATTAAAAGGGACTCAGTTAAAAAGAAAAATATCATCTTTGGGGTTGCGTGGTTCAACATTAATAACGTATTCTCCGGATACTTGTATGCTAAATAATGTTCAGAAGCATGTAGTATAACAGTGACACCTGAATCCTTCCTTAATGGTATTTCATTTTCTTGGCCCTTTAATGTGAAGTTGTGGTTTTCAGAGATCTTCACCCCAGTTTGGAAATGTTGAACAATCTTTGGGTTACTGACCTAATGGGTTTTAGTGTACCACTAATGGGCTATCTTATTTCCCAGATGGGAATGGCGGTCTTTATCGGGCTCTTGCAGCCCAGAATATTGTGGAAGATATGGAGCAAAGGGGCATTTGGAGCATTCATGTCTATTGTGTTGACAACATATTAGTAAAAGTGGCAGATCCACGGTTCATTGGATTTTGCATTCAGAAAGGAGCAGACTGTGGAGCAAAGGTAATGCTAATGGTCTTTCTCTCTATCAGTATATACATTTTGGGAGCCATACTAGATTTTCTAGTATAATTTGAATATTTCAGAACCATTGATGCCTCTAAGGTAATTAAGCTATCCAAACCCCTCCCCCTCCTTTTTTTTAAACTGGCAACATTCAATTCTAGAAACAATCTACAAACACACTGTTCATCCTAAATAAGAGTTGAAAACGTGAACATATTTGGAAGTTCTTGGGAAAGTGAATGGTAATCACTAGCCTGGGATGGATTCATTAAATATCAACTTGTGTTTGATCAGATTAACTCATTTACTTTCTACGACAAAATGACTAGAGTGGTAGATAAGGGAAATGGGGGAGAAATAGCAGATGGAGACTTCAGCAAGGCATTTGACAAGTTACCTCCTGATATTCTTGTTAATAAGATGAAGATATGCAGGTTGGGGATAAGGACAACTAAGGAGATTAATAACTTCCTGAATGACCACAAACGTACTGTTAAGGATGGTAGAAAGAAGTTTGTATGTCATGTAATAAGACTCTGTCCTTGGCAGTATTCTTTTGACTTTTTTTTTTTTTAGTCACATAGATGAAAGTATAGGAGGCATACCTCTTTGGTAGCAAACAAAATATGTAATATACCTAGGAATAAAATAGGAAACACGCAAGACCTTTGGAAGACTTAAAAGAGACATAAATATTACTTTCTGGATGGAAAAATTGAAAACTGTAAAGGTATCAGCTCTCACCAAATTAAAGTATAACACAATCCCAGTGAAACTATTCTGGGAACCTTTGACAAAATGACTGCAAAGTTTAGAATAAATACGTAAATGTTGCCAAGAAAAATGTTGAAAGAGGAGGATGATGAGGGGAGGGAGGATTGGAGACAATCTACCAAATATTAAAATGGATTGTTAGAAAGTAGTTAGGAGTATGGTACTAATACCAGTAAATGGCAGATTAATGGAACGGAATACACTGATCAGAAAGAGTCCATTTATGTATAAGAACGCACTATATGAGATTATGGCATTTGAAGTCAGTAGGGGGAAGAAGGCACTGTTCAATAAATGAAGTAGGAGAACCGGTTAAATATAATTAAGATCTCTGCCTCGAAGCTCATAATAACATCATTTTAAAATATAAAAAATGAAACCATAAACATGTTAGGAGAAAATTTAGAATAATTTTATAATATTGACATAAAGGGAAGCTCGTTGTGCCAACAGCTGGAAACTGTACCAGCTTCTGACAAGAACAAATTAAACTACGTGTAAATTTGAAATATCTGGATTTAAAAAGAAGACGTGCCATAAGAGACATACCATATTCCTGGTTGGAGATTTTATATTACAAAGATGTCGTTTCTCTCAAAATTAGTCTGTAAATCAAATGTGAAGTCACAGCCAAAAACTGAAGTCTTACATTTATAAATACAAGTTATAGAGAGATTGAGCTGATAGACCTAGTAAGATTCCTTCTGACTCTGGAAATAAAAGAGATATTTAGTTGGTGTGTTTCAGATCTGTGCCTCTTCCAATAGTCTATGACTATCTGTACTGTATTGTAAATAGCTATTAAACTGTAATAGAAACATGATGTATTGGATTCTAAGTAGTTACTAAGCTTTTAAAAAAAAAACAACAAAAACCCAGTGTACTTCTGACTTTGTTCCACTTGGTGTCACTCTTCTCTCTAGAACAGAAGCTCAGATTTTACTGCTCTGAGCGTCAGTATCAGTTTAAATTATGTAAAATCAGAGAGTCTTGAACCTGGAAGGGACCTCAGAGATCATCTGGTCATCCCCTTTGATCTCAGAAATGATTACACTGAGTTCCAGTAGTTTTAAGTCCTAGGTTCAAGGTCGGTAATCCTATTAGTGAAGCCAGGATTAGAATTCACATTTGAATCCACCAGCTGCTCCTTGGAAACCCTATAAGGCAGTTCTGCTCTGTCCTATAGGGTCTGTCAACTCGATGGCAATGGGTTTGGTTTTGGTTTAGTCTTAATACCATACCATATTATAAAAACCAAACTCTTTAGTTATGTTTTGCTGGCAGTTCAAAATACTTCAAATTAGCGTGCTAACTTTTCTTAGTACACTAATCACCTAGGGATACACGTGTTAACTAGTCACCCATCTCTGCTACTTATGAGTCCTCTAGGACAAATCTAATCTTATTCTTCCTTGCAGACTCACTGCTTAGCTCTGTCTCTGGCACATAATGGGTAGTCACTCGTGAATGAATAAATAAGATACCAAAATATGACTAGACTGGTATATGCTAAAAATATTTAGAAGTGTTAGAAATCGTTTATGTAATTTGCCCCTCCCCCTTTATTAATAAGAAAATCAAGATATTAAAGTATGTTTAAAAACACCTGAATTGGGGAGTGATTCATAGTGTGGTAATAGAATTCTTTGCAGTACTTCTTTAATAGGCTCCTATCTTGGTGCGTTGGAGCCCTGGTGGTGCAATGGTTAAGAGCTCGGCTGCTAACCAAAAGTCAGCAGTTCAAATCCACCAGCCGCTCCTTGGAAACCCTATGGGGCAGTTCTACTCTGTCCTGTAGGTTCACTATGAACCAGAATGGACTCGATGGCAGCAGGTTTGTTTTTTTTGGATCTTGGTGCATTAAGTATTTTTTAGGAGTGAGAGCCTTGAGAAAAGAAAGAGTGGGGTGGTTTGCAAAAGCACACAGCTAAAAGGTTAGGAACCATTGTTAAATGAAGATGGTTTTGTAAAACAGTTAATAACTTTGAGGTTATGTTATTTTGGACTCAGCTTTTCAGGATTTAACTTGGGAAAAGTTGAGTAAACCTCTTAATTTTATACGATGTATCTTTTCTGTATAATATAAACTGATTTAAACTTTGTGCCCCTTACAGTGCTGTTTTCTGTAATGTAGACTTCTGTAATACCTGGAGGTTCATAGTTGTTATAGAAGTAAACCTTTCACCAGCAGATTAACACTTTGGATATGTAAAATGTGACTTCACTTATCCTGGTTTTTCTTGGCTGATTGGGAGAAGGGGAATAGAGGTGATTTGTAAAATAAATCTGTTTTTTTGTTTGTTTTAATGGGAATGAGAGGAGTTTTCCAAATTCCCCATCTAGGAAGATACCTAGTATAGTGTATATGAAGTGAGAGGTGGTGGTGGGCTGATAGACAAGAATTGCAAAGAGGCCCCTGATTAGTTCAGATCTTTTTGCTGTGTACGTTTCCCTCCAGTTTAATCCATTTTTGGTAAAAAGTTTCTTTTCATTGAATACTGTGCTCCTTTCAGGAGGGCAAACAGTATAACTACACAGCAGGCCTAATGTATCCAGCAGTCTTGCCTCCCAGCGCTAGACTCAGTGACTGTATCGCTAATTGCTGTGTAAACCAAGTTCTCAATAGTGGCTTTCCTTGTCTGGAAGAGACAGTTACTGGCTGTTTACTTTAAGAAATCAGTTGCTGAAGAAGTTTTAACTTTATTGGTATAATTTCATGTACACTTAGGATAGACTTTGCAAATTGGGGACAGCTTTTTTAAAATACTCTGAAGCATGCTAAATTATTAGTTGGACAGGGCAAACAAAACAAAATCTTCAAATAGCTTTTATTGTTTGATTGTTCTGTTGGATTTTCATCTCATCGGAACCTTGTTTGTATACTTGTCTATTGCATCCAGTTCTTCCATAATTTTCTTCTTAACATTTAATTTAGGTGAGTGATTCCTGTGTGGGATTAGGGTGGTGCAGTATCAGAATCGTCTGTGAGGTTTTTTCAAATCACAGACCCTTACATTCTCCATCTGATTTTGATACACACCCTTCTGTCAGCTCCCCGAGCAGTCTAGAACCAGTGATAGATTATCAAATCACTGGTTTAAAAATTTTTTTTAAAGCATAGAATCTCTTCAGACAGAATCCAGTATGCAAACAGAGCAATGTAAGTGGGCATTTCTGATTGGAGTTGGAGTGGGAGCCCAGTGACTGGCCTGTTCTAACCCTCCTACCTCCAGTCTAGGTTCCTGAAAAACAAGAAGTATACTATGTTCATGAATGGCAATTACAAAGGTGCCATTTTCAAATGAACTAAGGATTTGGGCAATATAAAATGAGAGACAAAATGCCTTACTTCTTGAATCACCTTTTTTCTTGTGAATCCCAGAGAAATTTCATTTCTTCTCAGAGTGGCTGAGTGTGGTTAAGGAGAAATTAATTAATAATAAAATACAAGCTATTTGGGGGATATAGACTCCTCATTTACTTATTTGCCGTCCAATGTGATTTCCTCTGGGCTGTATGTGTATGATGAATCTTTTACTCCAGGATTTAGTTGGGTGATAAGTAGGAAGGAAGTAATTTACCTCATTTCTGATTGGAAAGTAGTATATCAAAGAATATAAAGATGGTTAGGTGATTATCTAAAGTTAAAGATTCCTCTTGCCTTGATACCTTAAAGATTATGTAAGCTACACTGTAATGTGGCATTTAAAAATGGCGGCACTTCAAAGAAACATTTAATTAAATTTCTTCCTTTATTGTTGTCTTTCTTTTATGACAGGTGGTAGAGAAAACAAACCCCACAGAACCAGTTGGAGTGGTTTGCCGAGTGGATGGAGTCTACCAGGTGGTAGAATATAGTGAAATTTCCCTGGCAACAGCACAAAAACGAAGCTCAGATGGACGGCTGCTGTTTAACGCAGGGAACATCGCCAACCATTTCTTCACTGTCCCGTTTCTGAGAGATGTAGTCAAGTATGGGCAAGCTGGGGGCCTTTTCTTACTTTATGTATTGTTAATCAGAAATTAATCCACTTGAGAGGTAGGCAGACACCCCAAGTCCGTACCCCACAGAAGCCAGCTTCTCTGTGGATCCCCATTATCAAATGGAAATTTGTCTCACGTGGTAGTTGTTTTTGTAAGGTGAGCTATTTCACAGGGTGAGAACTAGTAGGAACCCATTCCCCAGGGCATTCACTGGAGTCCAAAGCATTTTTCCCCCTCTCTTCTCTCCTCCTCCCTCCAACTGTACTGAGTTCTGTGGAAGCAAAGAATAAGAAATGAGACACCCACCACAACTGGGAGCTTTTTAAAAATACAGATGTCCACCCTACACCTACTTAATCAGAATTTCTGGGGGTAGATCCAGGGCATCTGTATTTTTAAAAAGCTGCCCACACAGTTCTAACGCAGCTGATTCCCAGACTAGCATTTAGGAAGTAGTGCATTAAAGAGTAAAGAAAAAAGAACTTGATAGATACCTGGAAGAAAATCAGCACGGTAGGGTAGTGCCACTAAGAATAAAATAAGAGCTGTTTTACTTCACCAGATTTTTAAATGAAGAGCATTCTCATTATCTGATTCTGCATTTGGTAGCATCTAGGTAATCAAGATGACCATCTGTTTTTTTAAAAGTTGAAGTTATTTTAGCATATCAACGCCAGTTCCAAAATATGTCCTATCCCACTATGTCATACGTAACTGTGTTATTAGTTTATCCACAGTGACATTTTTCCATCTCAGACCTGAAGGGATCTCACTTGGGAAAGTTGGGGCAAAGAGTAGGACGTTTTATAAACGACAAGGAAGTGATGGGGAAACACTGGTATGAGCCGTGTGTGTATTTTTCACTGTAGAGGTCGTGATTTGATTTCTTTAATATAAGGAAATGAATGGAGAAATCTATTCATTTACTATTTAAATCTGAACTGAAACTTAACAAATGCTCTTCACTTTGAAAGTTTTAATACTGGTTGTTGATGCATTTACTCCTGAGTTTTATCAAATTTTCTGGCATTTTAAATCCAGAAAGTAATTATACCTTTTTTTTTTTTTTCTTAGTATTTATGAACCTCAGTTGCAGCACCATGTGGCTCAAAAGAAGATTCCATATGTGGATTCCCAGGGGCAGTTAATTAAGCCGGACAAACCAAATGGAATAAAGATGGAAAAATTTGTCTTTGACATCTTCCAGTTTGCCAAGTATGTTTTGAATAGCTCCAGTAAGATTATGTATGTCCTGAAATGCTGTTTTTACTCTCTTAGGCAGGAAGCTGTTTTAAAGAGAATTTGATAGCATATATGTCAGATACGGTATTTTGAGCCTGGTGTATAGTCTAGATTCATTATGATTCTGTAGTTTAAAACCACAATTCAGGAGTGTGGTCTAAGTTTCCAAAGAGTACGTTTTTTTTTTTTTTGTTTTTTTTCATGATTCTGGGGTTTATTAGGGAAAGTAACAGTTACAATTCAGGCTCAAGAACACTCAGGATACAGTTCTTACACCAGGATAGCCTCTTCCCAGCTGTGCTCCCAGGCATGCCTCTCCCTGGCCCTCAGTCTCTGCCCAAAGGCACCCAGCTTTCTCTCTCCGTGGGCCAGAAGCCCACAGCGCCCTCTCCTGCTGCCGGGTCTCTGCTGCTGGTCTCTCCTTCCCTGGTGGTGGGCTCTTCCTCTGTGCTCTGCAATTGGCTGTCTTTTAAGGCAAACTGACCAATCCCCTTGGTAGGCCACAATTACCCTATCACACAATCACCTGGGTGGAAGTTACAAGACCATGGCTAGAAAAGGAGTACTTTTTTTTTGAATCAATTAATTCATTTTCTGGTTCTCCTGTAAAAATTTTAAAGTCATTTATTTTGGCTGAAAGACTGAAAAATGTTGAGATAAAGAATTGACCCATTTTGTGTTTAGGATATATTGCTAACCTATGAGTCAATGTTACAGTGAACAGGGTTCTAGATTATATAGCTGTCTGTAAAAGATCACATTTGATGTTGAGATATCTCAGAAGGTGACTAATATGAAAATGCAGAAGACAGATATAGCCATGTAAGATTAATCTCCCCATATACATTTCTACATCATCTTTTTTGCCTGCTCCACCCCCCGCCCCTTGCCCCGATCAGATACTAATGTGATCTTTTTAGATTAAGATTTCTAATCTTTCTGACCTAAGATGAAGTGTTTTATACTTGGGAGTGGAAATGATGTCTCATTTTTGCATTGGAGAAAGAATTCTAATTTTCTTCAGCAAAGAGATGAGCATTATTTCGTTCAGCATTCATTTGAAATTGGATTAAGACAGCATATTGTTGAAAACCAAAGACTTACCTCTGTAGAGGAGTCAGAAGCTGTGTATGCAGTTTTATTTCATAATAAAAAAGTTTGTATGGTTCCACTGTAGGAAGTTTGTAGTATATGAAGTATTACGGGAAGATGAGTTTTCCCCGCTGAAGAATGCAGACAGTCAGAATGGGAAGGACAACCCAACTACTGCAAGACATGCTTTGATGTCTCTTCACCACTGCTGGGTCCTCAATGCGGGGGGCCACTTCATAGATGAAAATGGCTCTCGCCTTCCAGCAATTCCCCGGTAAGTCAACATCTTCTCTCTTTTGTGAATGTTTTCTTGGTTTTTTCCTCTTGGACTTCTTTCTCTTCTCTTTCTGATGTATTCCTAGATCTTGTTTTTTTTTTACAAAAGCAAAATATAAATGTAAGCAGTTCCTGATGTGAAATAATGAAAGCTTTGCCCATTGCAAAGAGTGATAACTTTACTTCCTCTTAAAGAGGAATTTCTTCTGAATCTCTTGTTGGGATCCATCTCCACCATGTCAGTGAAATGACTCCTACTGAATAATGGTGAGAAGATAATTCTTTTGGTGTACCGAATGGTTAAAGCCCATCAGTCGCATGCTGTACCACAGCCTGTAAATGCTTCAGCCGCAGAGGCTTGGTTGTTGCTGCCTGTGTATCTGTGGCCTAACTACAAGCAAGCGCTGTGCATGAGACCCACCAAAGACTCGCCACCCACAGGCCGCCTTTGAGATGTAGGACCACCACAGTTCTCACCACAGCACTTTGAGGTTGCTGAGAAGGTGCCAGAAGGACAGTGAATGCCAGTTTACATTCACTTTGCATTCACTGATACTCGGATTTGAGAAATGTTTGGGTTTTTAGAAGTTGGGGAAAAAAAAAAAAGGTACTTACACCTATACCTATCCAAGATAAAGCACTTTTAAGTTAAATGGTTCTTGTATTTTATGAGAAAACCTTCATCGGCACCCAGAATTTCCTAATTCTAAATCATTCAGTATTTTCATACTTATGTAAAAAACATTCTGCCATATAATTTATATTCTTAAGGGATAAAATGGTTGGCCGCAGGCACAAGAGTGCTCTGATAAATGTTAGAACATTGTGCCTTGGCACTTATTGGCCCCCTTCCTGTGTATTCACAAGTAAGGGCAGTGGTAGCCTCTGTCTCGCAGTCCAAGGCCATTTTCCAGCTTCTGTCTCGGCAACGAGCTTGCTCTGTGGCATGTCAGATTGCCCTCATGCTTCATCTCTGGCCATTAAGTTATTTTTTTCCCCCCTAAGGTCTCCCTTGTGCAATGTATGGTTTACCATAAGTACATGCCGTTTGGTCAAGTATATTTTGCAACCCCACTCCATTGTTGTTGTTTGATTTATTTCCATTTCCATTAATGCTTATTTATTCCTAATAGCAGTGCTACAAATGGAAAGTCAGAGACCATCACAGCTGATGTCAATCACAAGTAAATATACCAGCCTGCCTGCAGTGCATGGTGATGGGGCTGTGCTTCCCTCCATACTAACAGGCATTGTAGTTAGTGCTCTGTCTCTTGGGGGAATGGGGGAGAATGGTTGAAGCTTTGGTGGGGGTGTACTGCTTCCTTGGTGGCAGGTCTCTGTCTGGGTGACACTAACTCAGAATCTCAGTGCATGCTGGAAATGGGGAGCATGCTTTACTAAAGAATCCTACCATAGATGTTAGAGCCTGCGGTGACAAATTTACAGGTGGTAGGTAAGATTCAGAGCAGGTGACAGACCAGGGAGAACACATTTGGATCCCAGCGTCCCCCATGAAGCCTAAACCCAGCTAGGTAAAAATGGCATTCTGCAGATCTGACTTACTGAATGGGATAGGTGCTCTCAGTGTAAAGCTAACTGCTCCTGACACATCTGATGATCTTTAGTATGGAGAAAACGGTTATTCTGATTTCCTATACATTAAGAGCTCTCATTTGTGGTCATTGTACATTCATTTTATTCAGTTACTATTCTGCTCATGAGGAAAGTATCTTTTTGTCCTTCTGGTGGGGAGTTTTTAGCTAGAAGTAGCAGTATCTTCTCTCATCTGGGTACTGACAAAAAAGTTTGAGAAAGCCATTATTTTAGCAGCTAAAGAGACACCTTAATAGTCTTGCTATGCTTTAAAAGTTACTAGGTTTGGTTTGAAATTTAAGTTTTTAAGATAATTGCGGAAATGATCTAGAGATGGAAATCATTTTAGAAATAGAGTAGCGCTGATGTCCATTTCACACACACGCTTTCTCCTGCCGCTGCCACTCATCCTCACCCTGTGGAGGTGCCCAGTGAGTGTCAGCACTTCTGTGATGTGGCCCCCTAGACAAGGAAGTGGGCTCGCGAATCTGGTTAGTTTCCTCTAGGAGCCGTCAATTACTGTTATCTCTTACCCCGTGGGAGCTGGGTGCAGAGCTCTCTGTTGTTTCTGGCTCATCCGTCATTTTTAATTTGTGGAAGCAAGATACTTTCGTAATTCAAGAAATAAAATTTTGGCCCTAAATTTTCGTTTCATTGAACTACAGCTTTTACCAAAAAAGTAAAATAGTTTTCTAATTATATACCTGAAAACAACATTTAGTTATCTCAGCCAAGATACAAAAAGTTTTAAACATTATTTAGTGCTTGTTTGGGGTCTTTTATTTAGTAACTCCCCCCCTGCCCTTACTTCATTTCAGCCATTTGTAGACTAATTAAACTGAAATAGAGTTTAGACCCCAGTAAGATCATGGACTCAGAAATAGTTCTTGCTGAACTCCTTAGCACCAAAGGATGCCCTCAGAGTGGAAAAAGATTACTTAAAAGTGAGAGATGTAAAAGAACTGTTTTGTGTAAAAGAGGGAAGAAACAGGTTGGAGATATTCCAAAAGAATGGAAGCAAGGATGCTGAGTTTTGAGAAAGTGACATTTTTATTTTTCACCTTAAAGCTTACTGAACAGTGTTAGATGCTAAGAGATGTTTGGCTAAAGAATTTGGGGCAATGGTGTTATTGGACTGATTTGCTAATAACCTGAGATTTTACATTTGGTGATGGTGGCTTCTGTCTGTCTTCCTCCAGGACATCCAACTTTATTAACTTCCTTGGTTTCTTGGGGTATCTTTGTGGTATCTTTGTGGTGCTAAGAGGGAAGTTATATTCAGACCAGCTCTGTGTTCCTCAGGGTGAAAACCATCTTTTGATCCTGGTACACTAAATCCCCCAGGGGTTCAGGTAGAACTGACTGTACATAGAGCTTATCAATAGGATAGGCCATCATTGTTCCAGTTAGGCTTAGTATGACTTTGAGTTGCCCCAGAGGGTCTGGGCCAGGCCTCTTGAGCTCTTTGGATAGAATCTGGCACATGGCTAGAGAGATGTGTGCCAGTCTGTGCACTTTCTTTTCTCCAGCATTAGTCTGTTATCTGTGTACCCTCATAGTTCATTTATTCATTTAGCTGACAAACATTGGTAGGCCTGCTGACATCCTTAGCAATGTGCTGGGTGCTGAAGTATCTACATAAGAGAAGCAAGTCATTTCTTAGAGCCTGCTGGGAGGATCAAGATACATATACATAAAAGTTAAGTAACATCATTAGGCAGTATGTGATTGTGTGCTAAATGTGTGGTACAAGCAATAATTGCTCCAGAAGGTCAGTGATGTAGCAGGTATCTAATATATAAGCAGGTATCTAATACACACACACACACACACACATATACATATACATATATATAGATACACATTTTTTGGGGGGGTATAAAAAATGTAGTTGTTAAGGGAATACTGGGTCTGACCTAACCGTGGAGAATGGGTAGGATTTGGATAGCCAGGGATCGTAGCTGAGAATGACTTGGAGTAATCCAAGAGTGTGACTGGCCTGGTGTGTGTGGAAAGTAGCAGGATAAGTAACTTGGAGTAGGATATAGAGCATCTTGGATGCCTAGCTAAATGGTTCTAGTTAGAGAACGGTTGGCCTGTGGCCAGACTCAGAAGCCCTCTGATGTTATTGACTCCACCAAAGCCTGAGTCTGCGTACTTGGTAAAACAAAGAACTGTGGTTTGAGGCTGCAGGAGACTAGATTTTTTTGCATTGTGTCCTGTTGGTGAGATTCTTGAAACAATGAACAATCCAGAGGCCAAGTGACTGTAAATGTATTGGAGACACTATTTATTGACTATTGTGTTGGAAAATTTAGAAGCTCAGGATGCAAATGACTATAAATGTGAGAGTGTGACTTAGAGGAAGCAAATGGCCTTGCCTTCCTTTGGGTGCATTCTCTGTTAGCTCTTGAAGAAGGAACTTTTGGTAACAGTAACAGGGAAGCACTTTGAAATATATTGAATAAATCAGCTCAGCTAATCTACAAATTTGGAGTGTACAGAAAAACATATACTGGGAAATAATAGAGCTGACCTTTAGAAAATACTGTCCAATAGAATGTTCTGTAATGAAGGGGTTGTTCTGTATCTATGCCGTCCAATCTGGTAGTCGTTTGTGGCTATTAAGCACTTAAAATGTGGCTATTATGACTGAGGAACTGAATTTTTAATTTTAAAAATATTTTAATTTAAATTTAAGTTTAAATAGCCACATGTGGCTGGTGGCTACTGTACTGGACAGTGCAACTTTAGAATGTTTGTCAACAGTACTGCCTAACTGGCAAGGTTGTGGTGAGGATCCAAATGAAATCTGAAGTACTCAAAGCACCTACCACTGGGCCTGGCATGTAGTATATACTCAATAAATAGTTCTTTCCTTTATCTAATTGAAACTTGGAAATGATAAAAAATGAGATGTACATAAGGGGATAGTATATCAACATTGGTGATGTTCTTTAAAGAGCTACCAGTAATTCCTTGTACTTGCCCCAGATAGTATCCTTCTGACCATTATAATTCCATGTTAACTTAATCTTCAGGGAATTTAGTGATGATTAGGATAGGATCCATTCTATTCGCTCAACTAGGAAAGTTTTTTCTGCAAGTTTCTCGGAGGAAAGTTATGGTCCGTACGTTCATGGTGGCAAGTAACATGGGAAGCAAAATGTTTAACAAGTGTTTGGTTTTTTCCTTAGCTTGAAGGATGCCAATGATGTACCAATCCAGTGTGAAATCTCTCCTCTTATCTCCTATGCTGGAGAAGTAAGTTTACCCTTCTTTTCTTTTAAAAGTAGGATTCTGGTATTGTTTTGTTTTAAGTATATTTGCCGTTACTGAAGATGCAGCATTTTCTGATGGCCCTGCCTTCAGGAGCTTGTCCTCGGGATGAACTGAGAAGCTGCATTTGTTCTGAATCCTCTTTGAGGAACCCTGTTATGGCTTCGCATTTATCTTATAAGTGGGTTAGTTACCATTAACAGAAATCTTTGCCATCTAGTCCATGTCACCTATACATTGAAATGCAATGAGCCTTAAAAAAATATGTAATCAACTTTGTTTTTAGATGTCATCTGGCTCTTTTTAATGCAATGTCATTTTTCCTCTCAAAGAGACTGTTCATATACCTAGTGCTCTCACTTCTAAAACCTGGGGATTTAGGAATCCCTAGGGGTCTCTATGAGTTAGAATCCACTCAACAACAGTGGGTTTGGTTTGGGAACGTTCTAATATATAGTATTTTTTTCTGGAGATCCTTATCAGTATTGGCTAATTCCAGTGTCAGACAGCCACCTTGCCTAGAAGTTAACTCTACTGGGTGATGATCATAGGAAGAATGAATGTCATATTAACTTTAGAAATTATAAATCAGAATAATTTTTTCTTTTGTTGCTTGTTTTATACTTCCATAAGTGGGTCTTGAAGCTCAGTTTAAAAACTATACTAGATAGATTTTTATTGAGTTTTAAATTTTTACGTCTTACTCCAACTTTTGGCACTCACACTTTAAGTCATTATGGCTACTAAGTCCAACATTGCATGGTTAGTGTCCATCAGTTTTCTGTTTCATTTCAATCTTCCTTTTAGGGGCTAGAGAATTATGTGGCAGATAAAGAATTCCATGCACCTTTAATCATTGACGAGAATGGAATCCATGAGCTGGTGAAGAATGGTCTATGAACCAGATGCCATGTGCTACCATAATAGGAATAGCTTTTATTTTTGATAGACCAACTGTGAATCTAAAGGACCTCTCCTGGAAGACTGCAGTTTGAACGTCCACAGGGTTTCATTTTGCTTGTTGAACCTTATCACTACTACAAACGCCTCAAGATCCAGGTGTCTGAACTTCAGAAAGCATTTTAATTATTCTTAACTCATTGAAGGTCTTATTTATGTTTTTTCAGTTGTATTTTTTTTTCCCAAGCCAAGAAAAATATTGACCACGCAGGAAATTTCCTATAGCTTAAGTATAGTCAGGATGTTCAGCATCACTTTACTTGAAGCTTGGAAGCATTTGTTTTTGAAGTTGTACATAGTAACAATATGTCGCTGTACATGTCGAAAGGTTTCTATGGTACTAAAAGTTTATCAAAAATTAAATTTTTAAAAAATAATTGAGTAGTGAAATAAACTTTTCTTCTTGTCTCTGGAGTGTCATTTGTACCTTGAGGAAATTATACCATTGGGAAAATGTGACACTTGGGAGAAACTTTGAGATAATGCATAAAGACAAATCGATGCCTCTGTGAGGTTGCAGAGACATAGAACTTCTTTCCATGAATATCAGACTCAGACTTTATCTTTCTGTCACTTTATAATACTGGCTCTCACTTTATAACCAGATTTGATTTTGGTCCCCATGGGACGTTTGGCAGTATCTGGAGACATTTTGGTTGTTGTAACTGGGAGGGCATCTAGTGGAAGGATGTCAGGGATGTTGCTGTACATCCCACAGTGCACAGGATAGCTCCCTACAACAAAGGATTATCTGGCCCCAAATGTCGATAGTGTCAAGGTAGAGAAACTCTGCTTCATGTTGTTTTACTCTCTTTTGCCCTAGTATTTGGTGGCACTTAGGAATTCAAAGGAATATAGTTCCTGGATTTCCTCAGGCAAGTTAATCACCATCATCCCAGTTTTATTCAGCTAGAGGATTAAAAAAAGGTGATTCTTTAAACATGGGCGATAGATCATTGGTCATTAGAAAGAGTTCTCCATGTATAAAATACAGTTTGCGTGAAAATATCGGGTGTTAAAAATAAATTTTATCTAACATTTAAATATTGCCCAAAAGTATAAAAATCAACATCTGAGTAAATAAATGATTTTAAAATTATATCTAGAGATCAGTAAATTTTATTTTCCATTTACAAGTTGTCACAGATGGGATGGCATGGGTGGGTCTTTTGTTCTGTAGAAACAAAATGTTTTTAAGGATCACTTTAATTTTTAAGAGCACATGATATTGTTATCTAGCTATCTAAATTTAGTTTTTTTGTGCTAAGTCCTAAATAGTGTGTCTAGCATTTTCTGTTTTATCTTCATTCAATAACAGCCCAATTTTATGTTTGTTATCATTGCATTTCTCAAAAAGATTTGTGAGGTTTGCGTTATCATTGGAACGAGCTCCAAATGGATTGTGAGGACAGAACTGCACAGCTGTTTTAGCACTTGTTAACCTGAATGGTGTGGTTCGTATCCTTTATCCTGAACCTTCATCTGCTATTTCCTCTCTCCCTATCTTTAAGATCCTATTAACAATGCTGGGGAAGGGGAGAAATGGAGGCATGGGACTGGTAGTGGTTTCACTAGAGAGGAGCGATGGCTGGGGAACATAGGGTAAGTTAAGAGTGAAGAGCCTGAGAGCCTCTGAGCCATGAAATTATCAGGTGATAATTATGTACCTTCATGAGTCCTTGTTAAATGTTCTAATTCAGAAAATACAGAGTGGGGTAAAATGTTTATAAAGAAATTTGAATTAGAATAATTTGGTAACAGTGTGGTAGCATATATGTGAGAGTTCCTAATCACTTTGAGTTTGGTTGAAGTCACACCTGCCATGTATTAATAACTGTACTGATTGTCACAAATGAACATAGAAGCCCACTGGAGTATGTTATCTGAATATTTGATTACTATTTCTCAACTTCCCTCTTGCCTCTTGAGTTTGATGCAGTTTTGATGTCTAAAAAGGATTTTTTGCTGATACCTACTTGAAGATGAACAAAAAATAATCTTGTTTTTTAATTTCTAGCCCTCCTATTACCAGAGGTTTTGACTGTCATTGGTAGTATATGATCTTGTTTCTTACCCTAGCTGGCTGTCTCCAGCATTTCCTCTTGATGCATCATGGTACGTACAGTAGGACAAGGTAAAAGAGGCAAGAAAAAAATCACGCATAATCTAGGAGAGTGACTAAAACACATCACTCAGTTGGCTAGGAAATATGTTTTTCTACTGGCTGAGACCGATGTTTTTGAAACCCATGGGCCTCATCAGAGCCCGACCTAGAAGAAGCGTGTTAGGAAGTGATGAATGAATGAGTCAGCCAGTCATAACTGAGTGCCTGTCATGTCCAGCACTATCAGATAAAGGATACAAAAGTATAGCACATAGTCCTCTCCTTACAAAGCTTGCATTCTGGTTAAAGAAATAAAATTAACCCACACAACACAATGGGAAGATAATTTTGAGCTAACATCTGTGGAATTAAGTTCAGTAAGAATTAAACAAAGGTGATCATTGTGAACTAGAGTTTGATGTGGCAGAACTCAACAAGTAACTCTACCAATTTGATAGCTTATTGGCTTCTCAAGTGGGGATCAGAGGTCTGTACTAACAAGAAAATTTACCTTAAGAATTCTAATATGAATTATGGAAAATCAGTGGGGTTTTTAGTAATCAGAACCATGCTTCGCCCATAGTAAATACTCATTTTTTTAAACATGAATTTATTGAATTTAATTCAAGAATGTATTAAAAGAAAACTGATAGTTATTCTAGGGAGAAAAGAGGTCACTTAACTGTTAAGTTGCCAGGTGATACCCCATATACAGGGTTAATTAGAACAGCCGTATGATTTTTCTAAGTGTAGCCCCCTGCCAGGTACATCAGCATCACCTGGAAACTTGTTAGAAATTCAAAATGTCAGAATTACTGAAGTATACATTTGGGGGTGGGGCCTAGAAATCTGTGTTATAACAAGCCCTCCAGGTGATTCTGATGCACTCTAAAGTTTGAGAACCATTGCTGTAAGAGAATCTAGGGAGGGTGATCAAAAGTTCAAGGACAGTACAAAGAAGGAAACATATACTGGTCTCCCTCAGTTTCTCCCCCAGCTTCCTAGACCAGGAATAGGCTAAGCCAGGAACCAAAGATATGTCTTATGGTAGCTTTGTTCTTTAAAATACCAAGGGGGTAGAACTGATGGTGGTAAAAGACTGAAAGACGGAACCACCAAGACCTGACCAGGAGAACTATAATTGCTAGAACAATGGTTTCCAAACCGTTTGGATCATCTGAAAAAATATAGGTTCTTCACTCCAATTCTAGAGATTATGATCTTAAGTCTGTTGGGAGACCTGAGTATCTAATTTATAAAAAGCATTAGATAATTCCTAAGTGCAGCTAGAATTGAGAATCACTGATCTGGAGGTATAGACCTATTAGAAATCAGCCAAGGGTAAGAGGGAAAAGGAGTTTGCACATGCTCTGACTTCTGAAAAATTAGACAAAGGGAGGAAAGAGTACAGAACATTTCACTTGAGAACAGCACAAGCAAAGAATGGGGAAGACAGACCTGGGAAATAAACATTTAGGGAATGATTCCATTTTGCAACTATCTCAGGCTGTTAGAACCACCCTAAATAGAGGGCGTTCTAAATTTTATCACTCTGACTCATATCATTTCCTGAAATGGGCAGGGGGTGAGGGGAGGGAGAGAGAAAAGGACCAGTAAATGAATATTTTGGTTTAAAAATATTACTAGTTTACGGCTGAATGAGAAGAAAAAGTAAAATGATGTATTAAGGGGATGGTCATATGGGTGATTTTTTGGGGAGGGATTTGGTTTTGAATTATTGGATAATGCGTTTTTAGTAATTTTCTAATTAAAAGTTTTACCTTTTTTTTTTAAAAAATTTTTTTATTGTACTTTAGATGAAGGTTTACAGAACAAATAGATTCTCATTAAACAGTGAGTACACACATTGTTTTATGACATTGGTTAACAACCCCACAACATGTCAACACTCTCCCTTCTCAATCTTGAGGACCTTTTTTTTTGGTGAAAATATACATAGCCAAAGTTACACCATTCTGAAAGTTTCTACATGTACAATTCAGTGACATCAATTACATTTTCCAGTCGTGCTGCTATTCTCACTATCCTTTTCCAAATTATTCCATCACCATTATCTTCAGCTCTCTGTCCCCTAGGCTTCCCATCAAACCTTTTGAGTTGCTGTTGTCAGTTTGATCTCACATAGATAATTCTTTTTTCTTTTGTACCTTAGATGAAGGTTTGCAGAACAAATAGTTTCTCATTAAACAGTTAGTACACATATTGCCCTATGACAATGGTTAACAACCCCATAACATGTCAACACTATCCCTTCTCAACCTTGCGTTCCCTATCACCAGCTTTCCTGTCCCCTCCTGCCTTCTAGTCCTTGTCCCTGGACTGCTGTGCCTCATTAGTCCTGTTTTGTTTTATGAGGCTGTCCAATCTCCGGCTGAATGGTGAACTTCAGGAGGGGCTTCACCACTAAGCTAAGGGTGTCTGGGGGCCATACTCTTCGGGGTTTCTCAAGTCTGTCAGGCCAGTAAATCTGGTCTTTTTTTGTGAGTTAGAATTCTGTTCTACATCCTTTTCCAGCTCTGTCCAGGACCCTCTATTGTCATCCCGGTCAGAGCAGTCAGTGGTGGTAGCCGGGTACCATCTAGCTGTACTGGACTCAGTCTGGTGGAGGCCAGGTTTTACCTTTTTTAAAGTCTCAAAGGAAAAATAAACTAAGGGTATTTACATCAACCAGCCAGGTACAGCTGTTAGAGAACTTGAAGGTAAAATTGGCTGTGGTGAGTTGGGGGGTGTGTGTAAAAGTACCATTAGACAATGGAACGTTGACTGCACCACTGCAGGGTAAGACAGCATGGTCTTCATTGTCTCTGACCTTGGGCATTGCATGGAGCTTCTTCATTTGTGGAATATGGTAATGCCTTAAACCAGATACTGTATGCCTTCAAGGTGATGTACTTTGAGAGAAAGCCTTTCTGCAAGAGGCTTAATGTGAGCCCTCTCTGATGTAATATATGAATTCAGTACTGTATTATGCCCTCTGAAAGATGACAGGCTTAAAGGCTTGCCAAAAGGCTCACTGAGTCAGTGGTAACACCAAATATGTTTATACAGATATAGTGTTTTAAAGGTTCGAACGAAGTT